AAAAAAAAAAAACAGCATTAATTGTGTCCAAACTACCAATCTGATTTTTAAGAATTAATTCAGACATTTGTCATGTGAAACTCAGAGCAATGAAAAAGGAACGTTTTTATAAGTTTGCTGCATACTGTGATATTCAAAATACAGTAATAACCGTCTAAACATCATTATCAGATTATGATATTGATAAGCGCATTCAGTCTAAGCCAACTAAAAGCAGAATTTTGTCACCAGTTAGAACGTAACTTGGTTATATTAAGATGGCAAACAATTTCCATTTTAAGAAATATCTAAAAAAGCAGCATTGAAATAATTTATTATTTTAGAACTAGTTCAACCAGTTACAATAAGATTTGCTGTATTTTAATTTTCAAAAATAGTGATATAAAAAATTACTAAATATTAAAGCGAAAAGTATACGGTGCACTGATCAGTGATATACTGTGACGCTTTTGCTGTGGTCGCCAAAACGGATTCATAATGAAAGGTTTGAACGTTAACGTTTAAAAACTGTTTAGACGTTCAACCATAAGGAAATAAATGAGTTTTAATAAATGAATGAGCTTAGCATTTAGTTGAGGCTTTGAAACTACCGGGGTTTTTGTGATAAACAGTGTTTTACCCTCTCATAAAATATTGTTTGAGGTATTCCATTCGTCTTACTACTTTTCCGGTAATACCCAACTGAAAAAAAAATCAATCAGTTTGATGCAAATTGTGTTCCCAACAAAAAAAAAAAAATTAGTTTAGGCAACAGATAACAAAAAAAGCTGCACAGTAGAAACGAGAAAAAGTCAACTTGAATTTCTTTTTCGCAGCCTGAGATGGTCTTCAACTGCCGAAGATTATTCTGCAGAAGGAGATAAAGAACTTGCGAAAAGCCATCTTAACATTCATTAACCACTTTTTTTTGTTTATTGTTACTTACTTTATTTTTTATATGATATCACAGCATCGGTGCTACTAAACTGTAACAAGATTAAAAATTTTTCACAAACACTTTAGTTTTCAAAGAAAAACTGCAGCAAAATGGATATGAACCAAACTTTCTGCCTGTCCTGTGTAAATTAGCTCGTCAACAGGAGTGCCTTACCTTCTACGACTATAAACACCTCTTTTCTGCCTCTTTCTCATAATTCATTGGTGTTCACATATAGTTAAACCAATTTCAGTCTTCGAATGTTTTTTTATGAATTAATGATATAATGTCGGTAAGCCAAATCCATTTTCTTGTTTATAAGGCTAAAATTAGAGATTTTTTCATGCAGCCTACTCTACTCAATTTAATGATAAAATGTTTGCGAGTAGAACTGGCGATAGATGTTACCTACCACAAAATAAGTTGAGTTATCAAGCCTGCTTCTAGACAGTAAATACTTCGCAGTTCCATCTATCTCAATTTTTGCTGCTCATGCGACTTCCTTCGTTTTTTTTCTCTACAATATAACTTCTCAATTACTCTGCGGCGTCTAGAGGTGGGCGCATGAGCTATTTAAAGCTTCACAGGAAAGGATTTCCGAAAGAATGTTAGGGTAGGAAGTCGTAAGGAAGTGGCTGTTCATAGACAGCTGAGTAAAGTACAAAGCAAACAACTGTTAAATCTATTTTTAAGCACTTACAGGCTTGAAAATTGATACTTTTTGAATTGTTTATCCAGAAACGACAGTGTGTCGTTAAAGCTTGCAGTTTTAACCCCTGTGTTGTAAGATGTCAAAACACCAAAACCTTTGATTTTTTTGATAATGGTTTTCACAGTACAGGGATTTTGCTGAACCTTCAGAAAAAAATCTAGAAGGAGTTAATGTGCCAAATGAAAAGGCACTAAAAAATCGTGTTTTTTATAACGGGGCAGGATCTAGCGCCAACTGTGGTTAAAAACTGAAATATTTTCATTATAAGTAAACGGCAAATTATAAACTATAAAGAACGGTTGAAACAGTGGTACTGCGCGGTAATACATTCATTTTTAGGCTAGTCTGATGAACATTTACTTTGTCGTCTGACGTTTAAAGTTAACATAGAAAAAGGCAAAAATCATTTATATATGCAGTACTTAACTGAGCTGTCTACCATTCCTTAATCTCAATCAGCTACTTTGAATCTGGTGAGTAAAAGTTGGTAGGAATTTAAAAATTTTTAAAAGTGATTCTTTTGTTTCTGTAATTACCTTGATTTAGGGATTTGATTACTTTTGTTGAAGCATTTGCTTTATGCAACAGAAATAAACTTCAATGTGCTTAGAAATAGATAAAAGTATCAAACTTTTAAGTAAAGCAGTTAAACTAGAAATCTGAATAATATGAGTATAACTAGAGATTTTTAGTTGAAGAAAACAAGCTCAGTGAAGCGGTTA